TATACTTTTATAAATTACAATAGCGGTTTTGTAAGTTTTTCTATTCGCAGCGTGTACAGTAAACTTTATCCGTCCGTGTGTTACATTAAACTGAGGCCGGTCAGTTGAAACGAACGGACAAGTGGTTACAGAACGATGACGTCCTTCCTCTAAGTATCGGCTCCGGGGAAAACAACATCAGAAGAACCCCAGCCTGAAGCAAAAAAACACCGAAACTTTGCGTCTTTACCAACTGTTAGTTTCTACGACACGCTTATCGTAACACGTAACTCCGCGCACACAAAATGGTAAGAAATCAAATCGTTTAAAATACACTAATTGGCTTTTATCAGGGAGTTTAACGCGTTAGCATGTCGTGCTAGCGTTAGCTTTGGATTACATGTGGCTGAGTGACGCGCTCCGCTGCTCTGAACAGCACTGTGATTCTTACCGTGTCAAAACATTTTGATACTACTTAACCGAGTGCGTTATATTCCCTCTAATGTTAAAATTAAGAAAATTTTCGGGTATTTATCTGTGGAAGAGCTATGTTAGGTGAAGCTAAAGAACATTTCGCTCTGCTTTTGTAGAGCTTTTATATTTTAGACAGTGAAGCTGACTGAAGTTCATTTGAACTGTCATACCTCTTATGCGTTTCTGTGTTGAAATAATCTCCCCTTGTCTTTTTACATCTGGACAAACCTGCCTGTTTTGTGTAAAACAAATTCATAATTTAGCCTTTAATGAGTAAACGTTACATGTAAACAATCAGTTACAAGTGTTTTGTCTTTCTGTTTTTTTACCCTTCTGGCCCTTTTCTTTGATATAATATTTGATGAACATATTTCATTAAATTTCAAGTAGATCTAAGCTTCTTAATGTAAATTAAATAACTTCACAGCCCAACGTAGTGTTTTGGAGGTTTAAGTTAAATGAAACTTTTGTGTTGTGATGAAACCATTAAGGTTTGAATTTTTGTTGGCATTTCTGTTTCTGCCATCTGAACCAGTGCTGTCACAGAGTCAGCTGTTTACAACTTATTTAAATCATGAATTTTGAATCAGAAAAATATTGTTGACCTCCATGATCAGAGGTGTGTGGGACAACATCTCCAGCCTGCTGCCCTTTAATAAGAATCTGTGAAAACACACTCATTATGACAATATGTGCTGACCTATTTATTTTTGTTGTTGTTTTGTTGCTAACCTTGTGCTTTCTACATCTCATTTTTGGTGGGGTGGTTCAGAGAGCTGTAGAAATACCACCAGACTGATCTGAATTCATTGAGAAACTCGTATAGCTCAGCAGTAAATTCAGATGTGCCTGCTTCACAGCCTCTGGTACTCTTTATAGATTTTTATTATTTTTTTTAGAATTAGACGGTTGTGGAGTTAAATCACTGAACAGGCTGTTATCAGTAGTGCTGGAGCTACGGTGTGCTGAATCCTGTGCAGTAGATTTTACTTGAAATTGCAAAGAGAAGCCATGCTCTTATATGTTTTAATTGGGTTCAATTGATTTTCATGATTGTTTTGTTTCTCTTGTAGCCCCAGAACGAGCACATTGAGTTACACCGCAAGCGGCACGGCTACCGTTTGGATCACCATGAAAGGAAAAGGAAGAAGGAGAGCCGTGAGGCCCACGAGCGGTCTCACAAAGCCAAGAAGATGATAGGTTTGAAGGCCAAACTGTACCACAAACAGAGACACGCAGAGAAGATCCAGATGAAGAAGACGTGAGTTAAAAAAAAAAAAGAAAGTCAAATACAAAACACAAAAATACAACTTCCATAAACATCCAAATATCTAATGTGTCTTTGCAGCATCAAAATGCACGAACAGAGAAAGACGAAGCAGAAGAACGATGATAAGACCCCCGAGGGAGCAGTGCCAGCCTACCTGCTGGACAGAGAGGGACAGTCTCGTGCCAAAGTTCTCTCCAACATGATCAAACAGAAGAGGAAAGAGAAGGCCGTAAGTGTCGGCAAATATCTGCTCATCAGCTGCAGCTTTTCTAGTTTGTTTTTTCAGGGCCATCTTTCATTTTGCGATGTGTGATGTGTGGAAATATTGTCACTGTTTGTAAACTCCACCTTGATTCGTTTCTGTAGGGCAAATGGGAAGTGCCTCTGCCCAAGGTGCGCGCACAAGGAGAGACAGAGGTGCTTAAAGTTATCAGAACCGGAAAGAGACAAAAGAAAGCCTGGAAGAGGATGGTCACAAAAGTTTGCTTTGTGGGCGACGGCTTTACCCGTAAACCTCCAAAGTATGAACGTTTCATCAGACCGACGGTAAGATGGAAGCAGATGACAGACTGAAATGTTTGCACGTGGTACACGTTATATTCTGCACTTGAAATTATCGGAAACACCTTTCTTTCACATGCTCATTGTTTATTGCCATTTTTCTGTTCTGTTTTCAGGGTTTGAGATTTAAGAAGGCTCACGTCACACACCCAGAGCTGAAAGCAACATTCTGTCTTCCGATCCTGGGAGTGAAGAAGAACCCTTCCTCACCCCTCTACACCTCTCTAGGAGTCATCACAAAAGGAACAGTTATAGAAGTCAATGTCAGTGAGCTGGGCCTGGTAACACAAGGAGGAAAAGTTATCTGGGGTGAGTCTTTAAACTCAGCTCATTTACATGTGCTGCAACAGTCCGATCACTCACCAGTCTTGGTAAATGATGACAAAATATCAGTGTTGACAAATGGTTACATATTCTTGGATGAGTGCAGCTGTGTGTATATTTACTGTATTTCAGGCTACAAATGGTGGAAAAGGGCTAAATATTTAAATGTCATCTATTTCACTCCTTAGGTAAATATGCTCAGGTGACAAATAACCCAGAGAACGACGGCTGCATTAATGCAGTTCTGCTGGTATAAGACTTTGGACCTGCCTTCTGACCGTGCCTGGTAGCTGTTGTGTATCCACCTAAATTTGCAGCAAGCAATGAAATCTGCAGACTCATGAAGATTTTGGTGCTGAGCTTGGTAACATTGTTTGTAACAAAAAGGACACTCTGAGGGGAAAAAGTGTGGCAATTACTGTGTTAAATTTAATAAATAAACTTGAAATGACACCAGATCCTTTTTGACTCTTGCATACTTGTGTGCACACATATGAAAAATAGTAAAGTAGTCATGATGTTTTCCACTGCGTAAACAGGGATACTGGTTGTTGCTGATAATATTGAGGGTTTAGATACTGTGTTCAACAAAGGAGGACTGTGTGGGATCCTGACGGGCTGTTACATAAAGCCAGATCACAGCTATAATCAGACATATGAGTGCCATGTGTTCATGACGCTTTAACGTCTTACAAACTGCTTAGTTTACAGCAGTGTATGGTAGATAATAATTAAGCACTAGCAACAGGATCCCTTTGCTGTTGAAAAGCATCATAGAAACATGAGGACGTCCTTCTTTTGCATTAACATGTCTTTGGACCTCATATTGAGAGCTCCAGCTAGAAGATACCAAATGCAAATTCAGTGTGTAGAATCAATTCCATAAATATCAAACAAAGGGACAGGCTTTACCGGAATATAAAACTGCCTGTCAGTCAGTTGTCCAGTTGCTTTTGAGCCTCTGGAAATGAGAGACCTTGTAGAAAAATGGCTGAAATTCTAGAACAGCAATACTTCTGTAAAATCCCTTGAATTTAAGTTAAAGGCGATTGATTTAAAACCTGTTGTGGTGGTGTAGAGACTGAGATAAGAACCCAAAATTGTATTTTGAGAATAAAGTTGTTTGACTTGAAAAAACACTTAATCTCCACATTTCAACTTTATTCTCAGATAAATCAAACTATACTGTTTTATCCTGAAATAAAATAATGCCCATAAATAAAGATTAATTTCAAAACTCACTATTAGTCTGTCTCTAGTACACGAAATGGGACACATATACTTTGAACTCTGAAATTTTGTCTGTTGCAATATAAAGTTGCACATATGCATCATAAAACTTAGTTAATATTCCTCAAACTGTTGACATCACACTTTACTTTTGCAGTGCTTAATTTTTTCAATAAAACAATGATTTTTGCTCTGTAATGTGTTTTTAGCTTCACATTTTACTCGACTTTATCTTGGGACAAGAGCAAGGTCGTACTTGAATGTATATCAAGTTACGCTTCTCTTCACTCAGACAGGTTCACTCATTTAGACTTTGCACAGTCAGGTTTTGCAAGTTGTTTGATTATTACGCAACTCATGGCTTAGACCCCCTGCTTTAAAAAGTCAAACCACTTTCATTAAGGAATGACGACTTCATAAAGACCTTGCAAGTAGACGGCTTAACCACTAACATTTTTTCTTTTTTAATAACGAGTACTGTAACAATTAACATTTAGCTATTTTAATTGGTTTCCGCATGGCTTTCAGATACTCCTTATACAATCTGTACACCACTGTGTCCTGCTATGTGCCTATGTTCTAACCAAATGTGGGGGGGAAAAAAAAAAACAAAAACAGTCCCACAAAGAAAACTGGATATTTTATTTGTGCATTGCTACTCTGGTGGTGTTTACAGCCAAGAAGCTTGGTAAGGTAAGTTTCCATAAGCACCAATTTTCTCAGAGTCAGAGGAAGCCATAAACAGCTGTGCAGAATATGAAAAAGATCCTTGAAATGTTTTCAAAACCCAACAAAGTGTCAGATTTGGGGGAACCAGCAGATCATTTCCTCCTGTGGAAAGTGCCACGATAACACAAGTGTATGCTCTCATGCTCCCTGCCCTTCCTTTCCCAGACAGTATTGTGCTATGAGGGGAATCATTTTTTACTTTTTTAAAATCAAAATAAGATAACCAGTCACATACAACCACATTTTTGAATTATCAAAAAAACCCCAAAACAATAATAATAAAAATCCCAATTGCAGCTCCAGTGATGGGGAAAAAAAAAAAAAGTCTGGTGTCCTTTCAAGTAAGATTATATTCATGCATTACAAACATATTCATAATATATTATCATATATAATATATTTGCAATGAATCACATGAAGCTAATTTAAGATATTAACAGTAGCACACATGTTTTGCAAATGTTAATTTTAATATGACACATGTAAAACTATTCTGCGTCATTACTTTTTGGACTGCACAGTAATCCTTTTCTATAACAGCTTCACTGTGATGATCTCACCTACAAAGTCCCCCCTTGACTTAATTACATGTACAGTGGACCAGTGGGTAAAAAAACCAAAAACCTAACTTTAAAAGTACTAAAAAGAATTTAAAATTAAGTAGTAAGGCAGGTGTTTTCCAGTAATCTATATGGATGCATTACACATTCATAAAAACAAATGCACCACGGTGATAGTTTCACTGACTGAAGGACACCCTTAATAACCAAGAAGCTCTCAGGAAAATCTCTCTTTGAGATTCTTGCGACATAAAAGCAGACATCAAGCTCCTTGATCAGTTGCAATGGAAAGCATTTCATTCTTATTAATGTTTCATTCAGCTGGCACTGCGCTCTTCATCAGCCCTTCATTCAGTGCGAGTGACATGTAACACTACAGAAGGCCTCCTGATATCATCTCCATGACCACAAGGCCAGACACAGAAACCGTCACAAAGACCTCTTGAGTCAGCTCTTTAGTCTTTTGGCTGAGTGTTTTCCTCAGGGGAAATAAAAGTGCACATAGTGACCAAGCCCGGCATCCATCAGATGCTGACATTATGTGTAGTAGTCCAGCTTGCTCTCTATCGTCTTGCAGCCTTTCACAGAGAAAACCCTCTCCGATTTGGGGAAATACACTAAATCTCTGGCCACCATGTCTGCCACGTCCTGGTTTGGCTTGATGTTTCTGGCTTTCATCTCGGCCATGGCGCACTGGACGATGTGTCGGTACTCCAGAGGCAAGAAAGGGACGAAGAAGTCCACCAGGTTCTTGTCTATCAAATTCGTACGATAAAAGCCACCTGGAACAAAGATTTCCATGTGGAGCAGTTACTCATTTATAAAGGATAAAGGCAGAAATATTAGTGTCGTTTACACTCACTTTGGTTGTTGTTGAACACTGACAGAGAGAGCGATGTTTCCAGGTCTTTGAGCTCAATCTCTTCTCGATCTCGCCCTTGTTTCCAAAAATCTAACGCCGTCTGTATAATGCTCTCCCCTCCAGCATTGCTATGACAAAGATTAGAAACATAAGATTTAGCGTTCAACTGTCTGTTATCACTCACAGCCTTTATACCTTTATTTACTTCATTGTTGAGAATAAGTATAGCACACTCCTTATACTGCTAGGGATTTTTTTTTTGTGGACAGCACTGCTCATATTCAGTTGATTTAATAACAACAATAAGACAATAAGAGCCCATTAGCCATTACCATCTCAGAAACCTCTTTCCAAATGTGTTTTTGAGGAGTAGGAGCATTGCTGTTCACATGCACTGTGCAACACCCACACAGATACAGAACCTGCTTAAAGTGACTTAGTCCTGTGGAAATGCATTCAGCTTTTCACCTGAGAAAGATGAAGATTGATTTGCGGTAAGAAACTCCGTCCAGCTTGACATAGTAGTCCAGGTAGGGCTTGATGCTGTCGATCAAGCCGGGATGCATCTTGTCCATCTCGTCAAAAATGAACATGGAGCGTTCGCAGTTTGTGACGTTGCCTTTGATCCACTGCTGTAACTGAGACTGAGGAGAGAGAGGGAGCAGAATAAATCGGACCAAACAGAGCAAGACCACTGGGTTTCAATCAAAAGCTAAATGCGTGGCTCTCCGTACCTTATAGTATGCACTTTGACTTTGATGTGGAAAGTGAAGTGTGGATGTGAACACATGAACGAAGCTGCTGTCCATTCCCTCCTTGTAAATGTTTTCAGCAATCAGCTTACTGACAAAGTTCTTCCCTGTGCCCGTCCATCCGTGCAGGGAGAGCACCAGGGGCTTCTTCGGGTTCTTATTGCTCATGAATCCACTCACAGCTTTTAAGAGGATGCGTGAAGCGATGTGCTGCCCAAAGAGTTTGGTATCCAGGTCATTTCGGAGACCTACACAGCAGAATGTCAAAGGAATTAACGGCTAAATGTATGAGTCTAAAACTATTTTCTTGCATTCCTTAGCCACAGCAGTAGGGCTGCTAAAAGTCTCACCTTCTTCATTATCATAAACCATTTATAAGTTCATATGTTCATGTAGTTAGTGGAAAGATATATCAACAAGTACCTGACAGGACAGTACAAACTTTGTGCACAAGAAAGAGTAACTGATCAAATGGTTAAAAAATAGAATGGGTAAAAATTTGAATAAATACTTTAAAATTTTTTAATTAAGTGCACTGACAGCTTGGGTAACCTCCAATTCTCCATTGGATAAGCTGTGAAGGCGGATGGATAATTAAATTTGTATTATGGCCATAAAAGATCTGAATCAAACTCCAGCTGCAACTAGGTTTATGGTTCATGTGACCAAAGTACTTTAAGCTGCTCCCAGATCCTCAAGCTGACCAGCTTGGAGGATAAAAAATGGCTAACATCGTGCCTTTTAGAAGAACTTCATTTAGAACACCCTCTTAATCATACACTGCACGGAGACGAGATGAGCAGTTAAGACTACCTAGAACAGTGGTGTCAAACATAAGCAAACATTTCCATCATTTTACAGGCTGATAAAAAGTTAATGTAAACATTCACAGCACATTTATACACATCTACAGTGAGCTCCTTCAGTCCTTTCACATTTAAAGAGGCAGCAGTGGCGGTCTTTGGCTTAGATCAGGTTACCCGATGGGTCTACATAATGTTCACTGCTGAAAGGTGATCTAAAAGTCTTTTACTCTGACAGTTAGCTTTCAGTTTCGAGGGTTAAAATAAGCCACACCGATAGCACTGTAACGTCGGCGCCGTACGATAACGTAACTAATTAACGTTACAGCTGCCTGCACTTTTAATCGAGGTCAAACAAACCATGTGCACAGAGCTATTATGTTTACACTGCACGGGGCACCTGCTCACCTGTCGCATTGAAGGCGATCCATTTGGAATCGCAGCTTTCGCGAAAGTAATTGTAGATAGTCCGCCCTAGAGTCGCGCCTATACCGATAACCACTGTTGTTGTGATCGGATCAAATGCGTTAACTAGCACGCCGACAGTCAAAAAAATATGCAAAAGAACATATACGTGTCTCGCTCTCATCGTTAAAACTAACTAATTTCGGATACGAGTCGTTTTCTGTGGCAAAATAGTCATAGCACCACGGTGATACCGCGCTAAACATGTAAACCAACTAGCTTCTTGCTCTACAACGCAGAACTTCCTTATTCGTCACGAACACGTGACAAATGCGTCGCTCTACGCTCAGCAGGCAAAAAAATGTTTATCAAGTTTAAAGATGCAAAAAGACAATAAAAGAAGAGAAAAGCACTATACATGTTTATACCAATAAGCTAGTCGTATCGCTAGCTTATCATGTAGCACATCCCCCGCTCAGCTAACGTTAAAGCGGCAGTTAGCGACAGTTGGGGTGTTGTTTGTGTGCAGTTCAGAATAGGTTCAGGGGTGTTTGGTGGGTATACTACCTGTCTTGTTGAAAGAAATCCACTCTGGTCGGCAGCACTCGTGGAAATAGTAAAAAATGTTCTGATACCTAGCTAAAATCCCGGTGAGAGCCGCAGCCATGCCGACAGCTATGGTGGTGCTAATGGGCTCTATCGCCTGCGTCGTGCCGGAGCACACCAGCATCCACAGCAGCAGGATGTGCCGCGTACTCGGCTTCATTTCTCACAAATGTCACCGCTTCATAAAACAGAGTAGGGAAAAAACAAAAGCAGGGAGCCTGTGAGCGGAGTGAGTGAACTCGATACAGTCAGCTGGCGATGGTGGCGCTGCGGTTGTCATGGGTCCAAAGGTGAGGTTGCGTCTTCTTCTCCTTATCTATTTTCGGCAGGATTGACAATTCGCGCGTGACATCTGCCTCTCACAGGTCCGGATGTTGCAGTCAGTGACTCCTGCAGGGACGTGCACGCCTTTTTTTTTTTCTTTTTTTTCTTTTTTTTAAATTTTTAAATATTTGTGTTTTACAATATTCTTCCACACTATGTGGTCTTTGGAATTGTGCTCATAAAGCTCCTCCATGGTTTCACATTAGGTCTTTATTTACAAAATGTTACAGTAAGCCAAATATCCCCAGGTCACATTGGACTTGTCAAAAATCAGGATAGTTTTGGTACCAAGGAGAGGCCGCCATATTTTATATATACTATATATTGTTTTGTTGTCTTGTGTATTGTGAAGCTGGTCTTTAGGTGGAGAGCATTGCCAAACACAAACATTTCCCACAGCATAACAGTTATGGAGGAAAATCACTGACCTCAGCTGCAGACTAAATCAGGATATGACAGTTTTGAAAGACCATTCAAAATTATTGCAAAATTCACTGAACTTCTGACGGAGCCATTTGTCCAGTAAAAACATCTGTTTATCATCCAAAGTCTTTTTTTCTTTTTCTTTTTTACTAATTCTGGCACTTACAAAATGAATTGTAAGCTATTCATGTATACGTAATATAACATTTTACATAAATAAAAAAGAAACAATACAACAATCTTTGCACTGATATTTATTTTTAATTGTATAAATATGACAGCTCTGGTTCTGCTATAATGAAACAAAGGCCTCAGGTGGACCTAAGGAAGAAGGTGGTCTGATGTCTTTTTGATCCTGATCCTCAAAGAGCTGAGCACTCAGCATCTATCTGCACTCCAGTGCCAGTCTGATCACCATGGTAGTATCTGCACACTACCATGGTGATCAGACTGGCAGGAGAAAAAGAAGAGCATAGAAATAGAGAGGACAAAAAACAAACTATAGGAGAGAGAAGACAGTTTAACAGCATCTGACATAACTAAAGGAGGGGTCACCTAATCTACCCTGACTAAAAACTTTATGGAAAAAGAAAGTTTTAAATACAATCTTATAAAAAAAGAGTGTCTGGATAGTCATGGGTAGCGCTCTGGCTGTGGTGTTTTGGATGAACTAGAAGCATCTCACACAGTTTTCAGAAAAGTCTGATAATAGGTTATTAAGAAATTCTTAGACAAAAGAAGGATTTCCATTTCTCTACCATGTGTCATGACAAGACTGAGAGTGTGATTAAGATGATGGGTGGGCTCATTTAGAATTTGAGATAGGCCAGTTGAGGCTATTAATCAATTTAATGCAGTGTTAAGGCAGTCGTGTAATTAGAATGTTAAACCGTGGCTGGAAGTCTTCAAATAAACCATTGATGTGATCGCAAAGCTGTTTCAAAACAACTCGTGAATTTTTGCAATTAAAAAAAGGTGAGAAATTGGTCTATGACCATCTAAGGCATCTGAATCAAACAAAGGTTGACTATGTAATGGTCTAATTACAACAAATTTAAACCTATCTGGCCTTTTAATTAAAATAAACTGATCATATTTCAAATAAAAGCCCAAATAATGGTAAGACAATCAATTACATCTCTGGGTTAGTTCATCAGTAAGGATTGTTGCCAGTTCTACTCCTTTTAAGTAGGAAATGGATCTTTTAAACCAACATATTCTTCCTTCAAGAAATTAACAGTCAAAATAGAATAAATATGAAATAATTTATTAACAAGGACTTGGGAGAGAAAGACATAATGTTCAATAAAGTTAAGTATTTTTTTCTGCTGTAAACAATGATTCTATCTATATAAATTATGTTGCTTAAATAGATGTTTAGATTGGCTTGTTAGCTATTCTGGGAGCAGGAAGAGCAGTGAACTACAGAAAGATAAGGAATGTGATGCCACGTCTTCACATTAAATGTTAAAAGATGGGTTTCCACATCCATTTAAATAAAAGTTTATATAAGCAACTTTCACTCTGTGTAAATATCCATTTCAAAGTTGATCCTAAACCAGTGTGAGGCATCACTGCTTTGACTTGGTCAAATCAATAGCGTATCATGAAACTTTAAAGCTAGTTGTTTTCCAGATTTAGTTTTCCAGTTTCTTATTAGCACTACAGCTCTGTGGATTTTCTCCACCATCACTTACACTGATAGGGACCTCGTAATAGCCGGTATGAACAGTAGAAGCTGGAACAAAAACACTCAACATGTTGTTTTAGCTTTTCTTTTTTTTTTTAATTGGCTAAGTCTCTGGAAATTTAAGGAAAATGTGGTTTTCTTTTTTCTTTTTTTTACACCCCTCGTTGTCCTCTCTCTCTCTCTCTCTCTCATCCAAGCAGTCAGTTTAGTTTCCTTCTCCTGATGTTGTGTTTCCTGAAATCACAAAGCAAAGAAGGACATGTTTATGGGCTTAAATTATGAATTCAAATCTTGCTAAAGATAGACCACAGTTAGGGTGCTTCCAAGCCCTAACCATTTTATCATCTTTAAATGTCTCAAAAATGTGTCTAGATGTCATAACATAAAGTGAAATTCATGAGTTAACTAGCTATTTCCACCATTACTGGGTTTTTTTTGCCTATCATATAAACATATATTCAAACATATATTTGCCACTATTTTTACAAACAATTAGATCCAAACAGATCATTTACATACACGACAGCTTGATTGATAGAATTCTTTATGTCTTTTTGCAATGACATGCAAAGATTTGCAGGCTTAAAAAAAGCCCAATTATTTTGATACAGATCAAAATAATTTCCCTGAATATTTGCAAAAAGGGACGTTGGGTCTTATGAAGTATTTGTTCTCTAAAAGCCCTTTTAAATCAGAGAAAGAAAGCAATATGCCCTGACTTTTCACCATACTACATTACTTACAGCCCGAAGAGTTCTGTCACACATGGCTGGCTTTTTTAAAAGAAATATAATTTAAAAAAAATTGCTGACAGTATTCAACCAGAATTTTGATTTATCCAATGTTCACAACTCCATTCTTGGTATTTCTGCATGGTGATGACTATGTGATGTGATTTTACCTGCTTAAACAATGTGCAGATAATGTAAATTTCATGTCCTATAAGGTCGCCTCCTGCCTCAGCTTGACATAGATGTTTTTAGCACGTTAAGACAACTAGTGCAAGGCCTGATTGGGAAGAGTGTAACCTGGATCATTTTTTGCAGCTTAATTTTAAAATGGTCACAATATGTTTTTACTCTGCTGGTATATTAACAATCGTTATTGTTATTGCAGCTTTCAGATGTGCAAACATAA